GTTTATTTCTCCTTAAAACTCCTTATTTGTTTGCATTACTTGCATTTGATGTAAAGAATGTGGTATAAAAACACGTAAATACATGGTCAGTTGATTTCTTATAAGAGTACTAAATCCATTCTGTGGACAAAATGCAATCTATTAATAAGTGGTGCTGGGGTAGCTGGGACCATAGCTCACATCATATTGAAAAATGAACAAAAATGGATCACAGACCTAAATGTGAGCGTTAAAACCATAAAACTATTAGAAGAAAACATGGGGTTAGTGTTTTGGAAATAATTTTTAACAATGAGCTCTTAGATATTTCAAAAACACAAGTAGTAAGAGATAAAATATGAAAATTGGACTTCATCAAAATTAAAAATGAATGTGCATCAAAGGACTTTATTAGCAATGTGAAGGAATTTTCCACTCATAAGTTTTCTATGGATGGTGAGAATTTAGGGGGGAACTATAAAGCTGGCACAGGAGCCCTGGTGGCACTGTTGGACTGCTACCTGAAAGGTCAGTTGGTTCAAACCCACCAGCTACTCTGCAGGAACAAGCCAAGGCTATCTGCGCCTGAGAAGATTTACACAAAGCCCTGGAGACTTTCCACAGGGTCCGATGAGTCCAAAACAATTTGATGACAGTGGATCGTGCAGGCTATGTAACTGGTAAGGGTTTAACATCCAGAATAAAAATTGCTATAGCCTAATAGCAAAATACAAACAACCTAATTTTCAAAATGGACGAAAGAGTGGACATTTCATCAAAGGAGCTAAATAAAATATTCATCCCATATAATATGCTCCAAGTCATTTTGATGATTTAAATCAAAACCACAATGAGAACTTCACCCCCTCTAGAATGCTTAAAATAAAAAAAGAAATAACAGGTGTGGGCAAGCACTAGGAGAAGTTGGAAATCTTGTCCTCTGTTGGTGGAATGCAAATGGTCTCGTTGCTGTGAAAACAGCGTGGTCATTCCTCAAAAAGTTAAACGTGGAACTGCCAAACAACCCCGGAAGTCTACCACTAGGATGGAAAGCAGGAACACAGAAACTTGTTCATCAGGGTTCATTGCCACACCATTCACTTTAGCCCAAAGGAACTTCCTAAATGTTTCTGAACAGATGAATGAACCAAGCAACTGCTACATACATACGGTAGGATGCTGTTGTTTGAGTTGCCGTTGACTTTGGGTGACCACTTTTGGAGACAGACGGAAAATGAAGTCTTGATGCTTGCTAGAACATGACTGAAGCTTGAAAACCTGCTGAGTGAATGAAATCAGTCACTAAAGGTCAGACATTCTATGATTTCACTTAAGTGAAAGAGGCAAATGTATAGCAACCAAAGTTGATTAGTGGTTACCAGGTGTAACTAGTCCTCCTTCAAGGGAAAAGTAGAGTCCTGTTTTGGGTTCATTGAGTGTCTGTTAAAGGTGGTGAATTATCTGGAAATGGATGGCGATAATGGTTGGACATGACGAACATGATCACTCTCACTGAATTGTGTATGTGGGGAATGCTGAATTGGCAAATGTTTTGGTATATACATATTTTGGGGGGTGTATACATTTTTTACCACAGACGAATAAGCAAACAAAACCACTTGTTACTACAAAGGGATTACTTAACTTTTTCTGTTTTGCTTTGTATGCTATTTTACCATTATTCTTGTTTAAAACAATCGTTTCATAAACACAAAACAAATTGTCTCCGTGTCCTAAAAAGTATTCTGAAGAAAAATTCATCAACGAGGAAATGGTGACACAGCTGACTTGCTGGGGCCACAGATTCAATTTGTTAAGAGGACAAGAGTTCCTAGTGCCTCTTCCTACACCCAAACCAGGCTTTTCACCACAACTGAAGGGCTAGAGTCACATCCTGTACAACTCAATGGGAGTTGTATTTACTGAGTTATTTTCTTGTGGGTAGATGTTTGTCATAGTTTAGTATACGCCAAGAAAGTATAATTTGATATTGAATATATTCATGAAGTTTTAGTAGCTTATAAAGTGCTTTCTTTTAAGTACAAATTGTATGGAGTAATAGAAATTAAGAAGGTACTCATAATTTTACTGTCCTAAGAAGTAAGCTTTTTTTCTCCAAACTCCCTTGCCAGTCTTTGCCAACAACCATATTTTCAATATCTGAAATTTTGACTTTTTTCCCTCCCTAGGGATTGTATTAGCCTTGAATTTTATTTAGTTTGCAATTTCTTTTGAAGCCCAGGTCAGCTCCTGCTATTTCCAGAGAATATACTTAACAAGTACAGAGGAAGAAGTAAGACTTTCTAAGGTTGGACATTTCCCTGGGAAGAATTTCTGCAGTTGGTGTAAAGCAATCTTAGATGTCAGCGGCTGATCTGGATAGTTAGACCCATCACAGCCTCTGAGCTACTGTAGGAGGCAAGCCTCAGGGCTGTTTGCACTGGGTGTAAACCAGACTTTATAGAGCTGGTACTATGGGAACTTGCTCACAATTGAATTTCTTTTTTGGTTGGGAAGAAACTGTAGGCTGCCATTTGAACAAACATTTGTTTTCATGACACTTGCTCTCCATTGATTACAGCAACAGTTGGGGATTCCACCTAAATAAACAATTAAATCCTATTGATTATCCGTAATTCTCAAGCTCACATTTCACAGTATTGACTCACTCAGTCACAGAAAATCAGCTGCTGTGATGTTTGACTAAGGAGCCTGTACAGTTTTTAAAACTTGGTGTTATAGATACAATTGGGTCAGTAATTCAGTGGAGTACAAATTATTTGCTACCATATAATTAATGTCTTTCCATAGATACAGTATCTAGTTTTAAAAACTAGGTTTACATAAAGTAAAACATTAGGTAACTTAAAAAGTAATTAAGTTAAAAGTACTATCTTAAAATTTGGTTCCTAAATTACTGTCCTAGGTAATTGAAAAGAGTACAGTATCAAATTTAATGTATTTTAAAGTATGGTAATCTTGAACTCTGGTATCTTAGTGGTTACGAGTTTAGCTGATAACTTCAAGGTCAGCAGTTTGAAACCACCGGCCACTTAAGGGGAGAAAGATGAGGCTTTCTATTCCTGTAAAGAGTTCTACTCCCGTAAACAGTCTCGGAAACCCACAAGGGAAGTTCTACAGTGTCCTATAGGGTTGCTATGAGTCAGAATCGATTCGATGGCAGTGAGTTTGGTTTCCGAGTTTGTACGTATGATAGACAAATCAACCTTGCACATTTCTCCTTTATCTTGGTTTCAGATTATTTGAATTTTTCTTAGCCTATGTTTCAGGCTAAGCCACTCCTGATGGATAACAAAACCTCCCTTACTCTGATATTTAATTTGCACTTCATAAATCTATGAATTCATTCTGAATTCAATTTAAGTGGGAAGGAGAGATAATTTGGGGATGGGTGTTGCCTATCTATTAAACTACTGCCTAAGCAGCAAGTGAGAAGGTCTGTTGCCTGTTGCACCATCAGGAATGGAATTAATCTTGAACGTGAGGATGCTGTTTGTTCTTGCCAGCTGCTGTTAAGTCATCGTGGACTCATAGCCACCCTATGTATGTCAGGACAAAACACTATCGGGCCCTGTGCCATCCCCACAATTGTTATGGTCAAGCCCACTGAGGCTGTTCTGTTCCAACCATGATGTCCTTCTCCAGGGACTAGTCCCTCCTGAGAGCATGCCCAAAGTATGCTTCTAAGAAGCAGTCTAGCTGTATCCCTTCAAGACAGGTTAGTTTGTTCTTTTGACAGTCCATGATTTCAATATTCATTGCCAGCACATTACTTCAAATGCATTCGTCCTCTGTTCCCCCTTATTCATTGTCTAGCTTTTGCTTGCATATGAGGTGATTGAAAATGAGACCAGGTGCACTTTAGTCCTCAAATAGACATCCTTGCTCTTCGACACTTTACAGAGGTCTTGGGCAGCAGGTTTTCCCAGTGAAATATGTCTTTTTTTCTCCTTTTACTGCTGTTTCCACGGCACTGATTCAAATAAAAAGAAGTCCTTGACAACTTCCATCTTTTCTCTATCTGGATGCTGTTATGGATCCAGTTGTGAGAACTTTTTTCTTTTTTTATATTAATGTGTAATCCATACTGAAGACTGTAGTCTTTGATCTTTATAAGTAAGTGCTTCAAGTCTTGTTGGCTTTCAGCAAGCAGGGTTTTGTCATCTGCATACCCCAGGTTGTTAATAAGCCTTCTTCCAAGCCGGATGCACATTCTTTTTCAGATACCCCACCATTTCTGACTATTTGTGTAGTATACAGATTGTATATGTATTGTGAGAGGATGCAACCCTGATGCACACCTTTCCTGATTTTGAGTCATACAGCATTCCTTGTTCTGTTAGAATGACTGCCTCTTGGTTTGTGTTCAACTTATGCATGAGTGAAATGTCATGTGCGTTTTAATACAGAAAATTACAGTCAGTTTAAACACTGATGGATGTTGATGTGAACACGATAACCTGTAAGTTTTCTGATGCTTGTTTATATCTTCAGGTGTCTTGGTAACCTGGTGCTTCAAGTGCTCAGAGGCTAACAAAAGATTGGTCGTTTGAATCCACTAGCCACGCTGTGGGAGAAAGATGTGGCAGTTTGCTCTGTAAAGATTTATATACAGTATTGCTACAGAACCAATTCTACAGCAGTGGGCATAGTTTGGCTTGTATTTTAAAATATGAAGTTTGTTTATTTCTTATTAAATGTATTTCAGTAACAATCGAATTTGTGAAAACTCCATATTTTCTCAGCAAGATTAATATTTGTTAAAAATGTAGGTTGTCATTTGCTTGCAAATTTTCCATGGCAGTATAACCCAGCGTGTGTTTCACTATCAGGTTGTACTGTATTCCAGTTTGAAAGGCCACTGAATAAGCAAGAAACAATGTGACACTCTAAATCTGCTGATTTTTTTTTAATCCTCTTATCATCCCCCCCCCCTTTTTTTTTTTTTTTTTTACAATAATGCAAGTTTATCTGTTTCTCTTTCTTATTCTGTTTTACAGGGACACCAGTGTACTCAGTAGCATGGGGTCCTGATTCTGAAAAGGTTCTTTACACTGCAGGCAAGCAGCTGATCATCAAACCTCTTCAACCAAATGCTAAAATTTTACAGGTACTTCTCAAGCATTTGCAAATTGTTATCAAGTCTATCAGACTTAAGCACAGGGCACTTCCTCAGGAGGCCCTGTCTTCTGGGTGGTCGTTCCACAGTTGGAGGTCTTTAAATGTCTGGTTTTCTCAGGCTTTACTACAGAACAGGGAGTTTCTGGTTGTGTTTCCATCAAGGCTCACTTCCTTTTTATTCCAACTCCCATTTTACCAGCGAATCATAGATGTATTTTGAGTTACAACTTTGTCACATGACTTGGCACGACTGGGCATCCTTACATTAAGCAGAGGCAGCCTCTAATGTACAGATTTGAAACTAAACAGGATTAAATCATAACATTTTAAGAGCTAGTTTAGCCATTGCTCTTTTTTTGTCCTTTTCATTTGTTTGATATGCTCAAGCATTTTCTAAGGCTCTCATTCTTTCAGTACTTTTCGAATAGAAGAATATCAATATAATATGTAAACCAAATTGAGTATTTATGTAACTTTGCCAATAATTGGAAAATATTTTAAATAGTGCTATATCACATTTTATTTTATTTTTTACTATTCAGAAGGTAACAAACTAGGAGCTGAATCTTGAAGGTGAAAGGGAAGATTATGCTAAGCCCAAGGACCAGGAAAAACGATTGTTTAGTGTCTTAGTTATCTAGCGCTTCTATAACAGAAATACCACAAGTGGGTGACTTTAAGAAAAATGAATTTGGGACAGGGAGGGGAAAAAAGAGGAGCTGATGCCAGGCTCAAACAGAAAGAAAATCCTTTGAAAATGATAATGGCAACATATACAAATGTGTTTGGTACAATTGATATATGAATTGTTATAAGAGCTGTAAGATTTCCCCCAATAAAATGATTTGTTAAAAGAAAAAAAAAAGAAGCATAAATCTATTTTCGGACAGTTTAGGAGACTGCCAGCTGTGGGGGAAATCTGTACGTCTTTTGAGCTTCTGTTCCTGGGCAGCCTTCACATGTCTTGACATGTCTCTTCCCCATCACATATCTGCTTTTGTATCTCAAAAGAAATTGGTTTAAGACACACCCCACATTCATTCTAGCTCCTTAACAGAACAAAGAAAGCCCTTTCCCAGAATGAATTGTAGCCACAGGCTTAGCGGTTAGGGTTTTCAACACAGATTTTGGAAGGGGGTTAGGGGGAGAAACACATAGTTTAATCGGAACATTTCATTACATTTTGATAATGACACATTACATGTAGATGATAAGCTTTGGCTTTAGTCCCTGAGTTTAAATCCCCATTCCATCGCGTATTACCTGAATATGACTTTAAGCAAGTTATGAAATCTCTTTGATCCTAGCCTTCTCATCTTGTAGTTGGTAATGCTAAATAGCTAGGTGATAGAATTGCTGTAAGGATTAAATGAGTTAAATTGCAAAGTACATAGCACAGTGCCTGGCATATAGAAAGCATTCACCAGAGTAGTTATTATTAAAATTAATATGGTAATAAATTATTAATTGGTATTGGGTTACTGGGTTATTTTGAATTATGATGTCACCTCTGCCTTTTAGTCAGGAGTCTTTGAATGGTGCCAACAGTTAACATGTTCGGCTGTTAATAAAAACGGTTAGCAGTTGCAGACTACCTAAAGGTGTCTTTGAAGAAAGGCTTGGTGATTTACTTCCCCCAAATCAGCCATTGAAACCTCAAGAAGCACAGTTCTGGTCTAATCCACATAAGGTCTTTATGACTCAATATTGACAATGTATGGCATTAAAAAAATCCTTTAAATTAGTCTTTAATAAATTAGGGCCAGGGAGGGAAAAAGGATGATTGGGTTCTAGGTAAGGGGTTTGGTGGTGGAAATGATCATACCACAATTGAGGAAAAAAATTTGTACCAGGAGGGTAAGGGGGTGGGGGTGGGGAGAAATGGGGAACCTTCACAATAATCTACATATAACCCCTTCCCTGGGGGACGGACAACAGAAAAGTGGGCGAAGGGAGACATCGGTCAGTGTAAGACATGGAAAAATAATAATTATAAATTCTCAAGTGTTTGTGAGGGAGGGAAGGTGGGGGAGGGAGGGGAAAAAATAAGGAGCTGATACCAAGGGCTCAAGTAGAAAGAAAATGTTTTGAAAATGATGATGGCAACCTATGTACAAATGTGCTTGACACAATGGATGTATGTATGGATTGTGATAAGAGCTATATGAGCCCCCAATAAATTGATTTAAAAAAAAAGAAGAAACACGCAGTTTAACAGTTAAAAAGATGTTAATTTTGGAGAGCGAGGAGCTAAATTTTATATAAACTGTGCTATTCAGGTAGTCTCCAATTTATGATGGGGTTCTGTTGTGATGATCCCAGAATGAGTCAGTTAAATATCGCCATTTAAAAATAGATGTGTCTATTATTGCCTTTTAATATTAGCTTTTAACTCCAATGTATCTTTGAACACTTGCAAGTGAACATCTGAGAATGATAATAACATCAGTGAATTATATACCACAGCTTTGTTTGCAGTACATATTACCAACAACAACAACAACAAGAACAACAAAATCTGTCCTAAGTATGGTTCATTATAACTCAAATATATTGGAAGATGGGGATACCTGTATACACAAGTATTGCTCTATACCCCACCAGCATTTACTTTGTAACTGTGTGCTGATCACTGCTAAAAACTTTGAGGACAAAATAAATAGAAAAGTTTTTGCCTTTAGGCAACTAAAGGTAAAGAATTTAGGCAAAGGGAACAAGAGGACTAGATCTGACTGCCTTTGGGCAAAAAAGTCCTCTTATACTAATCAATTACACTGAAAATCTGCTATATATGGCTAGAACAGGCAAGTTGATTCATCTTTTAGTTTTTGTATATAATTATGTGAATTTGGTCAGATACTGGTAGTTAACTTAAGTATCGGAGACTCTGGAATATACTTAGATCATCACTTACGAAATAACTTATGGCAGAACCTTTGGGCCAGGCGATAGTGGCAAGAAGCAAAGACATTTTCAGCTAGAGTGGAAGAGGAGTACAGTATAGTAATTATTAAGTATAATTCTTTGTTAAAATTATTCCTTAAAAAAAATTATTCCTATAGGATAAGTAAAGCTGTAGCAATTTTCCTTAAGCATAAACATAAAGAATGCATAATTCTTTCCTATAGAATGCAGTTCAAAGGTATATTTCTCATTTCCTATAAGATTTTCAGAGTCTTTTATAGGTGCTGGAACTTGTTTTTATTGTGAGGGCACTTTTACTTATTCATTAAAAATATAGTGTGTGCCTACAGCGTACCAGGTACTTGTGGGTAGGGTTGACCAGTGGCAGTGAGTGCTGCCAGCAGTGAGACCTCACAGTGGGCCTGAACATTTTTCCCATCTTCAAGTCGCTCTTTGCTCAAGGGATTTCATAAAGTGCCTGACACACTGAAAAACAACTGAAAATTGATGATGATACATAATATGTAAATACATATTTAATATATAAATGGACATATTAAATTATATCTTTAAGATATGCCTGGATATCTTAAACTACAATACTTAACTCAGGTTTTGCTTATAACTCCTGCATATAAAAACATTAGTTTTGTAACCGTGAAATCAAACTTTAGCAATCACTGTATGTGTAATACTTGTCCTTGCAGTTTATTTTAAGAAATTCGATTAACTGACATGATTTAGACAATTACTGATTTTTAATATGCACAGGTATTTGTCATTTTGGGCACGTGGCTTCCTTCTGCTCTGCAGGCCCTTCATGTTTTGCAAATGGAAGGCTGTGGCGACAGAGATGGGGCAAGTCTCACTGCTACTTTTCAGCAGCAGGCGCTCACTTGGTATCTCTGCATCACATTTTGGTAATTCATAAAATAGTTCCATCTTTTCCATAAAGGTATTACTTGCTTAATAGATTCCATGATAAGGTAAACATAACTCCCATCTGTACTGGGACATAGAAAACCAGTGTGGTTTGATGTAGTATTGTGATACTCTTTATTGTGGTGGTATGGTATGCCTGTGTCATCAACACATTTGTTTTTGAAAGGTATCTTTTTATGTAGCTTAAACAAATGATAAGTTATTGACTTTTTGGACCTTATTTGGCCCTGATTTAATATCTTCTTTATAGGTTGGGAAGGGTTTCCAGAGAGTTTTGTGAATCACTCCTATATATGACATTAGTGGTCTCATATTTTAAAATTTATTTTATAATCTTTTAGGAAAGTTAATCATATTTAGTTATATTATTCTGCCTAACCATGGTGAACAAGGCAACTTTAAATTATCTGTGTGCTAATAGCTAATTAGCACATCAACTTAAGAGTGGGAAGGCATTCTTCTTTATTTTTTAGATTACCAGTTTCTGGATCCCTTCAGAACGAGTATATGTCTGTGGATAACATAGCCCCTTTCTTGTATGGTAAATGCAGCAGGACGTTCTCAGATAGACCATTTGTGAGCCAGAACACCATAAAGACAAAGAGAATGGTGCTTGGGAGACTATGTAGAAAAGAAGGAAGAGAGTACACAATATGCTGATGGTAGTGGAAGTTAGCAGAGAGAGAATTGATAAGCAAGCAGGAAGGTAGTATCAGTAATGGCATCACCTGCACAAAGGTGCCAACAAGGTTTGCCTTCAACTAACAATTTTGGGGTCTGTGACATATATTCGTTCCAGTGTTATCATATAAATGTCAACCTTGAAATAATTCACCAGCAAGTAATTTTCCAACTGGAGTCTTAGGCAACTGAGGAAAATTTTGAGAACATGAACTATACAAAGGCCTTTTTTTAAAAGTTAGTGGGAAAATGGAATAAAAAGATAGTGGATTTTTTCCCCCACGAATTTTTGAAGCTTCCCTCTTACAGGGAATGGTACTTTCATTAGTTCAAGTTAGAAATGAAGTAAGCAAATGACATGTTGCACAATGACTATTAAAAAAAGGAATTCAGGAGAAGGCAAGAGGAGAATCATTAGAAAGAGGCAAAGTGTCTTTTCTAACAAAATACTTTTCAATACTTTTCAAGTTTTAATATCTTTTTTCCCTTGTAGTGGAAGGCTCATGATGGCATTATTTTAAAAGTAGATTGGAACTCAGTTAATGATCTTATTTTATCTGCTGGGGAAGACTGTAAATATAAGGTATGTAATGTTTTAATTTTTCACCTGGTAGAAAGACTTGAATTTACCAAATGAGGAAAATGTTTTAGTACCTTAATCTCACCATGTCTTTTAACTAATAATTTAACAAATTGCTACTTTACAATTTTAACAGGCACTTAATAATTTCAATTAATATTATAAATTGATGGCATTATAAAGACTATCTCATTGGCCTTTAGAATTTGATTTTAACAGTTGCAATGTAAATATAGTTTCTAGTTTTTGTGATTCAATCTAGATAAATCAATCTAGTTAAGTTTTCGAAAATGTACCTTATTAGTTGATCAGTTTCAGATCAAGATAGTTTGTAAAGAAGAATATCTAATGTAATCACAATAAGTTTAGTTTAAATAAATACTTTCAGGGAAAGTTGGTAGAATATTTATTGGTCAAGACCAAAAAAATAAGCAAAATACTGAAGATTTCAAAAGTATAATATTGTTCAAAAATTTATTATGGTAAAAAAATACAGATAGCAAAAGCATTTTCCATTGTAACATTTTCTGCACATACAATTCTGTGACATGAGTTCTGTTTTTCTTATCTTCTCCATTACCACTATCCGTTTTCAAACGTTTCCATTATCTTTAACAGAAATTCAGTGGCCTCTAATCAGGGACTTCCCCTGAGGACTCCTGTCTAGTAACCATTAAGAAACTTTGGTGGCTGTCCATTTGCAAACATGTTGTAGCATGTACCAGCCCTTTACTTCTCGTCAGGGCTAATGTTCCATTGTACGCACATCCTACACTTTGTTTATCCATTTATCTATTCAGGATCTTTTGGCTACTGTGATGAGGGCTGCATGGAACATCAGTGCACAGTGTCTGTTGGTGCTCTGTTTTCCGTTCTTTTGGGTGTATACCTAGAAATGGAGTTGTTGAGTTGTATGGCAATGATGGCCTAACTTTTTGAGGAACTGCAGAACTGTTTTCCACAGGGCTGTACCACTTTATCGTTCTACCAGCAATGGATGAGAGTCCCAATTTTTCCCTATGTTTGCCAACATTTGTTGCTCTCTGATCATAGATGGCCTAGGGGAGGTTAATTGTATCTCATTGGGTTTTGATTTGCATTTCCCCAGTGACTAATGATGTTGAACATCTTTCCATGTGCTGTTGGCTGTTTGTATAGCTTCTCTGAGGAAGTAGTGCTTAATTCTCTTGCCTATTAAGATTTTAATATTTTTGTTGCTAGAAGTATTGAACTTAAAACAGCTTAAAATGGGCAGCTTTTATATTTATGAGAGATTTAGTAAAATCTGAACATCATTGCAATGTCGTAAAATATATTGCTTTAGGTACTAAGGTTTCAAGTATCTAAAGGAATTCTACTTCTTCCCCTTGCATACGAGTAAAGATATTTAGTTGCTGATATTATAAAGTCATGATTTCTAAAATTTTATTTAACCGGAGGACAACCTTGTTTCTAATAATGTGGTGGCTGTTAGAAAAGATTAAAAAAAAGATTTGCTTTTATAGGTGTGGGATAGTTACGGCCGTCTGCTGTACAATTCACACCCTCACGAGCATCCTATTACCTCAGTTGCCTGGGCTCCAGATGGGGAGCTGTTTGCTGTTGGATCGTTTCATACTTTACGCTTGTGCGATAAAACCGGGGTAAGTGATACTGAACAGTCACAGATGTGCTATCATAAATGTGGAATGCACAACTACATGGTTCTCAAGCTTTAAAAAACATTTTCGATGAATATATTTGACTGAATCTTTCTTATTTGTCTTTTTAATATACTGGTTCAATCAGTTCCAGATTTCTGGGACCGTATGAACTCTCTAAGTATTAAGAATGGGCATGTTCTCTACTATTTGTCTTTCTGGAATTACTTATTTTGAACACGATTCTAAAGGATGGATAAAGTGGTTAGAATATTAAAATGTATGCCCTATCCATGTAAAGAATGCAGTTTTAAACTTTTTTTGTTGCTGTTGCTATTAACATATTTCACACAAAATTTTTGTTGCATCATTTTGGTAAGGAATTAATACTAAATAACATGCTGTTTTAAACCAAAAGGTTTCTTTCTGTTTGTCAATAATTCATATTTGAGTGAATGTGAGAATTGTTCCTCAGAAGAAACTATGCCCTTCTTCATATAAATTGTGTTTGGTTATCTAAGCAGATAACCAAATTCAACAGTGTTTCTCCATTGGCCTTGAGTGAGTTGCTAGGTTGCAGGACCCCAGAAGCAGCAGCATTATATGGCAAAAAGTTTGAGTGGGGCTGTTCTAGACTACTACCAACTGTGACAAACATCACATCACTGTGGCTCATTTTCTTTAAATGCAAAATATGACCGCTTAGAAATTTTAGAGCTTCAAAAATAAACAATACGTATATACTTGAGTATAAGCTGAGTTTTCCAGCACATTTTTAATGCAGTTTTTGTGGTAAAATTAGGTGCCTCGTCAGATAATCGGATTGCCTTGTATTGAGTATATATGGTAAGTATTCTGGATATTTGTTTTTTAGCACTTAATAAAGCCAGCACTGCCTGGCTCTGGAAGCCCTCCAGAAATTGTTATTGGTAGGTGTGTGAGTTCTGCGTCAGTAACCCTACGTATAACAGAACAAGACGCCCCTCGGTCCTGCTCCGTCCTCCAATTGTTATGCTTCAGTCATTGACGCAGACGCTATGGCAGTCCATCTTGTTGAAGGCCTTCCTCTTTTTCACTGCCCCCCAACTTTACCAAACACGAGTCCTTTTCCAGGGGCTGCTCTCCTGATAACATGTTCCAAGTATTCGAAACAAAGTCTCGCCATCCTCATTTCCAAGGAACGTTTCCATCTGTACTTCATCCAGGACAGATCTGTTTGTTCTTTTGCCAGTCCATTGTACTTTCAATATTCTTCACTTGCAACATAATTCAAATGCATCTATTTTTCTTCGGTCTTCCTTATTCAATGTCCAACTTTCACATGTGTATGAAGTAATTGAAAATATCATGGGTTGGGTCAGGTGCACTTTTGTCCTTGTGATAGTTATATAATTGTCAATTTAAGGATTAAGCATGTAGGGGTGGATTCTAGCCTGTCAATCAGGTCATAGCCAATGAGGCTTCTGTGTGGTCATAGCCTTCGCCTAAGGATTCTGGGAATTCCGGGCTTTCCTCCTTGGAGGTGGGAGACTCTCTGCTCATTCCCTGGGAGACATAGCAGCTGACAAGACTCATGGACCCACCCTGATGCAGCCCTGGGTGCTGGAGAAGCCATGCAGAGACCACTGCTAGCGCTGAGATGTTCCAATGACACTGGATCTAAAGACTTTCTACCCACTGGCCTGTGATCTTCTACATTCGGTGTCATTGCATGTGTTTCATGAGTCTGAAGAGGACTTTATAGATTTGGTATCGGACATATGGGTTAGTATCAGACTCTTGGACTTGATCTGGACTGGGCTGGGATGTTTTCTCAGACTAACACAGTCCACAAAGTAACATCTTTGCTTTTGACATTTTAAAGAGATCTCGTGCAGCAGATTTACGCCATGCAATGCGTCATTTGAGCTCTTGACTGCTGCTTCCATCAGCACTGATTGTTGATCCGAGCTAGATGAAATTCTTCACAACTTCAATGGTTTCTCCATCTATCATGATGTTACCTATGGGTCCAGTTGTGAGAATTTTGGTCTCTACATTGAGTTGTAATCCATAACATAGGCTGCAGTCTTTGATCTCCATAAGCAAATGCTTCATGTCCTCATTTTCAGCAAGCAAGGTTGTATCATCTGCATATCACAAGTTGTTAATGAGCCTTCCTCCATCCTGATGCCACATGCTTCTGATAGTCCCACTTCTCCCATAAGTGCCTCAATATCCAGGTTAATATGGTGAGAGGATACAACCCTGACACACACCTTTCTTGCTTTTAAACCAGGCAGTATTCCCTTGTTTTGTACACAGAACTGTTTCTTGTCCATGTGCAGGTTCTGTGTGAGCATGATGAAGTGTTCTGGAATTCCCATTGTTCTCCAAGCTATTCATAGGTTGTTATGATCCTCACAGTTGCATGCTTTTGCATAGTTAGTAATATTTAATTTCTGAAAGTTGGTGCCCTAAAATCCATTGTTTTTTCTGTCATGCTCCCTAATGAGTATCTGTGCTTACGTCACTCTGAAAGCTGACTCTTGACTCTTTCCTGCCCATGAGTACTGTCCTCCTTCGTGGTCTCCATTCATGGAAAGCTCTCACTTCTGCCTGATACTTACTGAGTTCGATCTACCCTGCAAGGCCTCGCTCATGTTTGGACACGATATGATGCCTCCTGTAGATGACCCAGAGTTCAATTACCTTAAAAAAAAAAATTTCCTCTCATCCTAGGTCAAATTTAACATTAGAATGTTAGATAAGATGATATTAAAAAAAAAAAGAAGATGATATTCACCACTTAAAACCTTTTACCTTTGGCTGTCTCTCAGGGATTCTAATTATATAAACTATGTAGTTTCATCTTTATAATTTAGTATTTCTTAGATTGTCCAGTTTTATATTCTTTTCCTGCTCTTGAATACTTCCCTCACTCATGTTCTTCATTCATGGTATGGTATGCTCTCATTTCTGTCTAAAACTTGCTAAGTTCTACCCACAAACTGGGAAAAAAAAAAAGGACCAAGCTCACTGCCATTGAGTCCATTCGGACCCCTAGTGACCCGAGAAGACAAGGAGGAGTTGCCCTTGTGAGTTTCCCAGACTAACTGTTCACAGGATGGAAGCCGTTCTTCCTTGGCGTGGCTGGTGGTTTCAAACTGCTGACTTTGCAGTCAGCAGCCCAGGGCTCCGTAAGTTCCACTCAGAAGTCTGATGAAAGGATATAACCCTGCATAGACGGACCTATAGAGACAATAATTGGTGCGTGACTTAACGGATTTGGGAGGATGATGGAGGGAAATGAGGAACAAATAATGAATATGGGTGGGGGGATGCTCTAGAACTGACTGTGGTGATATATATACAACTCTTTTTAAATACAACTGAAGTACGAAAATGTATGATATGTGATCTATAGCTCAATAAAACTATTGGAAAGAAAATATTTACACACCTTTGCTGATTTTTAAACTCTTGTTGTATTTGAACAACTTCTATATCTTTGTTTAGTTATATCCCATAACTGAATTATTCTATATTTACTTTTTATACAAAATATAGATACTCAATAATTTATTAATAATATGGGCATAGTAATATTTGTCATCTATAACATTTTAAAGTTAAAACTGGGGTTCTGGGTCAATGTGAATAACTGAATTGAAGATTTACTTCACTAAGCACAAGTCCTTTTTAAAAATGAAATATTCTAGAAGAATTTTCTTTTATCTTTCTGAATTCAACTACTGAATAGGATGTAATATATATATATATACATATATATATTGAGACTTGAGATCAGTATTTTAAATATCTTCATTCACGGGATAAATACTAAATATACAGCACTCATCAGATAGTGTTTTAAAAACTAGAGATGGAATAATGAAAAAGATATGAAATCTGTCACTTAAGTTGTTGACAACTGTTAGAGAGGGAGGCTTTAAAACTTAAAGAACAGAATGATAAGTGTTTGTGCTAAACATGTGGCATGCTGGGAAAATCCCACCTTCATTGCTAACTTCCTGGTAAAGATCAGCATGAATCCATTTCCCACCTGGCATCCTTGTTGCCATTCACTCACAATAGCACTCTCATCCTCAGCCACTTAGAGCTGGGTCAGCCGTGCTGGCTATCATTTTCTCCATATCTCCCGGACCCCTCTCTCTTTCTTCCATCGACAGCTGAGGCTAGGTGTGAGCATACAGGTTAAAAGGATACAGACTGGCAAATAGGCAGTCTGCTGACTCTCATTGCCTCTGTGGTTTGAAAATTCCCTGGGTCTACAGACAGTATGTATGTTTGTATGTATGTGTGTATGTATGTATGTATGTCATTAGGTGCCATGGAGATGATTGTAACTCATAGCTACCCCGTGTACAATAGAACCTAACACAGCTCACAAAAAGGACATGCTCTGCTCCTGACTCTGGCTGGTGAGGAGATCCCACCCAGCGCTTCTCAGCACGGCATTGCAGGGAGTCCTGTTCACAGTTACTCCCAGACGAATAGTATCTCTCTTCCCCCACATCCTTTTTTTTATTTTATGGAGCACACAGCACATTTCAAGCTGAAAGAATTTAAGAATAAAATTCAAGTTGCAATACAGAAGGGGGTCTATGAGCAAAATCTTGAATTATGCAGGAAGCATCAAAAAACAGTGGAAGGAATACACAGACCCTGCACCATGTAGAACTCATAGACATTCAGCCATTGTAAGAGGCAGCATGTGGTCAAGAACTGATGGTACTGAAGGAAGAAAGCCAAGGTGCACTGGAGGCATTATTGGAAAAAGAAGGCACCAAGAATCCTTAGAAGACCAACTGAGATGTTTCAACAAGCTAAGGCAGCACTATCAGCTCTCACTCATCTGTGCCAAGAAATTTGGAAGACAGCTATCTGACCAACGAGCAGCGGCTGCTTACATTCTATTAAAAAAAAAACCCGTCAGGTTATATATGAAAAAGAAGCTTAGCAGGAAATCTTAGTTATTCTGTTTTATAACTCATAGCTCA